GATCTTGAATACAAAGATGTAAGCTGATGAACAACTCGTGAATGGGTAACCACAATTCGATGAAACTCAGAAGTTATAATTCATTCACCTTATTACAATCTAAGATTAATATAAAATGTTACGATATTTATTCTTATTTAAATGCTTTCAAACTTATATTCAAAGTTAACAAGATATTTACATCGTCTTGACACTACGTGTTTGGCAGATTCCTCATAGAGATCCAGACTTGGAATCCTGGATACGTTCGAGAGAAAGATATTTTTCTCAGCATGCGTGCGTTGACCACTGTACAGAAGCACCAAAAGAGTTTGGCTTATTGTTCTTGAAAGTTATATTTGAAATATAATATTTTCATTTAAGTATCCAAGAATTAGGAGAAGTATTTCATCATCATTTAGGGTAAAATTTTTAAGTCCACATGAGCATCCATTGGGAAACCACACAGAATATAAGCGTACATTATTATCGACGCTGTTACTTTCACGAAATGGAAAAGAAAACATAATACATCGTAAATCAAGTAGTGCGAATGATTTTTAATGAATAATTTACGGTCCAAGTGAAGGTGGCAAGGAATTTCACTACACATATGCGATTCCGTCGATTCAAGTAGCTATCCATAAGGCACTTCAATCATCGGAATCATTGTGGTCGCTCAATAAACCTAAGCTCCTGCCAATTCTTCGAAGTTTGAATACAACTTCCTCTTGAACTAAGTTAAAGCACATTGCGATCAATGCCATGCCAGCTAGAAGATACAGAGAACAAATTACGAGTTTTTCTTGCGTGCCATCATCAGATACAACAGAATCTCCTGGAACAAGGTCTCCGAACCCAATGGTGCTGAGAGTAACGAAACAGAAATAGGATCCATCTAAGTAATCCCAGCCTTCCCAAACCGAAAAAATAGCAGCTCCACCGCATATGTAGCCAGCAATGATTGCTAAACATAAAGTAATTGGCACTGTTACCCGAGGTTTGGTAGAATAGTTGTTGGAAGCTTCATCATCAAGGTCATCTTTGGGAAGATCTGAATTCAGTTTGTTCCTGCAAACAAACAAAGGAAAATCATTAATTGAAAGTTAAGATATCATACTCTAATATATAATATTTAAAAATCTAGCTCTTTTTATATCTAAATATTATATTACAAGTGAAGGTAATAATGTTGAAAATATGCTATAATTTTGCTCGGCATATTTCTTCATTTCCTTTGATATAAATATCCACTGTGAAAATGGGCAGTGCATTAACTGCGAACTAAAAGGTGACCACAGCTTTATGTAAACCAGGATTCCATTAAACTGTGAATAAGTCGATTGATAAAGAAAATGGGTTTCTAACTTAAAAGGCAAATTTGAAACAAGTCCATACCGCAAATGACTCTACGATTTAGTATAATTAATCTTTACGGAATCAGTACATTAGACAGTTTTCTGCAACTTCAAGTATACTTGAACAAAAAGTAAAGAAAGTACTGGTAGCTATTTCAAATTGTTTACGAAATCCCTTTGAGAAGCATCAGAAAATTGCAAAGATAGCTATTGCTCTTATTCCGCAGAGTTCTGGATTCATTCATTATCGTTCGGATTTCATTTTTAAAAATTAAGAAGCTGTTTTAAATGAACATGTCGAAACGTTTCATCAAGATATTAAAAAAATGGTTAAAATGATATCTATGTGCAAATCTGAATTTGTAATTACATTTGAAATTTCATATTCGCAAACGAAAAAATATACATGATACTTGGATCGACAATGATGAGTTTATAAAAAATAACATTCAAAACATTTATTGGAAAAAATTTATATTTATAAACTTGTTTTTAATTAGATGATAATGTATTCGATTTCATGATAGCATGGGACTAAAGCAAAGCCCTAAGAATTTATAGAAATCTAATAACATTAAAAGATTAAGAAAAATATTAAATTACAGGAAAATACTGTACTATATATTGCAAATTTGCAACAGCGATATTTTCCATACCTCTTTTGTAAATATCTAAAGTCAATTTTTTCCCCTCAATTGATGGACTATTATCACTATTCACCAGTTGCTATAGCATTAGGTTATGCGGTTCTTCTGCCTCTGCTGTTTACCGGATGAAAATGTAATTTCAAATGATACCGTGCAAACTTCACTTCACGCAAAGAAGAAAACATCACTTCTAGAATAAGAGACCCGGGACCTTCAGCATCCTTGAAAAACTCAGTTTGGTGGTCAGCGTATTCAGCTGTAATCAGATATAATGTTGGATTGATTACTTGATTATATTTCAATACCCTGAGCCCCACAAATTAATGCCGCCACATACGCAGCCTTTATACAATCAAATGGAAAAGAATAAATTTTCAAATGTGATAAATTGTTCTTCCGACAAGGGATAAAAACCATACATTTCACTGATATGAAGATTCATAAAATAGATAGTGTTATATTTATAATATTCTGTAGGGTTTACAGAGGTAAATTAAAAAAAATAGCATTATGTTTTTTTACCTTCCTTGGGAACATGAACATGAACATGGTTTTCTTCAACTTATGCGAAACTTTGTGATAGATTTCTATTACACCGTTGCCCCAATTTGTTAGAATTCAGATCTCACATGTATGTCTTTAACCATATCTGAACTCTGATTACATGTTTGAATCCTCGAGATGTTGTTCATAACTGATTGTTAAGTGTAAATGTCACTGGCGCTCCTTATAATGCCTTTCAGACTTAGTATATAGGGCACGAATTATTCTAAGTGATGATCTTGAATACAAAGATGTAAGCTGATGAACACCTTGTGAACAGGTAAGCACAATTTGATGAAACTCAGAAGTTAACTATTTAAGACAGTTACGTTCGTTCCAATTAATTCAAATTGAGGGCAAAACATAAAATGATTATGTGTGCCAAAACCGCCCAGATATGAAAAAAGACATCTACTTTCAAATGTGAAAACGAATGAGAATTTATAAAAGAAACCTACAATTTCATTGATTTGCCTTAGTAGAGGAATACGCAAAAGATAAGGTCGTTACCTGCTTATAGTAATCAGTTTTTTAACCAGTTTTAATTTGCTTGAATATATATAGACCACGCAAAATAAGATATTTTGAAAATGTCATCCACCAACTTGGAATCTTTTGGATGTTGAAAATCACTGACTGAAAGAGAGAATTTTTTTCTCATTATCAGAAATAATTTGATAATCGTTAGCTAATTTGATAAGCGCAGATTTATAATGCATTCACAAATGTTGTAATGCATGCAGAACAGGTCAACGTGAAGTACATTGAAATTGTTTTACCATCATTGCTGTATGGCATCAAGGAGCTATTTTTATTTTAATTTTTCTCCAAAATTATAGCTGATACTACGCTTTTCGTCGAGAAGCATTATTTGATTAAGCTTCAAGTTTGAGCTATTCCTGTTGCAGTTCTACGAGCAAACCTAAATTTCCATTATTGTTAAGTTCTGAGTACATGCAGAATTATCAGACTAAAGTGACTAGCTTCCTTAAATACTTCCTAAAATACTGTTATCTTTCAGATCATTAAAATTTGTCTTAAGTGCCAAATAAGCGACATATTAATATTATATAGAACATTCTTTAATTTATTTTGAAATATAAAGGAACTTTTTTGTAATTAATAACAATTGGAAAATGTAGACTCATTTCAAAAGAGTCGTCGAAAAATTCTCAAATAAGGTAATAAAATCAAACATCTGTTAGTTTTTGAAACTACATGCTATGTCATTCTATCAATAAGACACAACTCTTGACATCCTCATAAGAAAATTTTATGAAACTTCTTCCATGTAGATTATATGATTATTAATGTAACTTATTCCATATGTTTGATCTTTCTTAAAACAGCTTTGTCATTTCTAATGCAAAGCTAAATACAGAGATAATATACTGTATTCTGAAAGGAGAGTAAATTCGTGATAATCGTTTGCGATATAATATTCGTGACAATCTATTATCAGTCAAAATAATTCATATAATCTATAAAATATTTCCTTCGAAAGCTAAAAGAAAGGAATCAGGGGCGTACATACAACCAAGTCGTGTGTTTTGGAAAGATTCGAGAACAAATGCGTACGGTCACGTGCCATGGGAAAGGAAGATAATCGTGCAGAAATATCGACAAAAATTGCTTAGCAAGATGAACACGAGATATCCTTCACTTCTTTGCTTAAAGACTGGCTAAGCTGGTATTAAGAAACAAATGTTTGTTTCTTGATGCCAACATATGTCTATCTTTAAAGATTCCGACTGCATTCTAATCGTCAATTCTAATGAAATTATTAAAATATAAATAATTACTTTATTTTAAAGCTTATATTTTTAGCTTCCCAAAAGTACTTTTTTCCTATCTATCAAGTGATTAGCAGCAGAGTTATGGCTGTTCTTGCTCTATGTCGTGAACCGGAAGTTGCTGTTTAAAAGGTGACGTTTACAGAGACATATAATAATATAATACATATAATATATAATAATATATTTAAGCTGAGTATTTTTCATCTGAACGCTTTTTGTGATGTTCAAAAGATGATTTTGAAACTGTCTATTAATTATTAACTCCCCGAGAACATGATAAGTTCCGCAGTTTATATTTCATATTTGGCAGCATTTTCCTTTTATTCCATTTGTGTTTAAATTCTGAATCTTTAGCGTACTTGCTATTATTCACTGCTTTTACTTCCTTTCTGCTTTTTTAAAATTTTGATCAAAAATATTTTCGCTTAAAAATATGCAATTTGCCACTATATCAGAATGTTTTCACTATTGTTCTTTGAAAATGTTCTCAATGCAGGGACAATGTCAGAAGGGTGTTGCAAATTTAAAAAATGTGTTGTTTTGGGAACAAATTATCAAGATTAGTTTTATCTTGATTAGCAAAAGATGTTATAAATAACAAAAAAAAAAAAACTGTGTACATGGATCTTTGTGATGTAGAACTGTTTGAAATTGTGTTAGCATGGAAATATTCAAAACTGCAATGAGCAATAATAATATATTACAGAATAAATATGAAAGCATGTGTCTGTTGAACTAACAACCTTGCTTCTTGGCTCCTATGTAAGAGTAATGCAATTTTACGGGCGGATTTAAGGGTATGAATTAAATATTAGAAAAACTTAATAAATATGAACTCTCGACGGCATACTGTACTAATGAAACGCGAATTCTCGACTCAAAATGACATATTTTCCTTCTACAACAGAACTAAAATAAAGTGTAACTTATAAAACAAGGCAGTTTTAAAAATTCAGTACATCAGCTTCTAATATATTTTCTAAAAATAAAACTTTAAACCTATTCTTGGGAAAAATTTATTTTTTCAACTTTTCTGTTGGGAAAAAATCCGCAAAATATTATTACAGTAATTTTGGGAACTTTCCACAGCTATTCTATGCAATATTGTGAATTAAATATAAAATGTTAGGCTTATGTGCATATTTAAAATTTTTGGAGACAACTCTATAAAAATAGAAAGACAGAAATTTCTCGAAAAATAACTAGTTTGTGTACACAAACATTAAAAGGTATATGTAATAGATATTCTAATTTATAATTTAGATTTGTGTCCATTTAATTTCTTAATAAATATAAGTGAAAAAAAACAAATAAAATTATTGGCAAATATATTTATGGAAACGTATCTAGTAATCCTGAAATGTAACACATTTTTAAACTAAAACTGAAAAAAACAATCAAAAATTATATTTTTATAATACCTTTATCACCTATTTCTAATATTTTAAGTAGCTAAATAATTCCAATATTTGATGTATTTATACTATTTTTCAAAATTTTGGTGTCGAGCGACACTTGAGTTCTGAATGTCGTAGACATGCACTTTATTATTTTCATACAATTAAGTGCCACTGAATTATGAATAGACATGACTATTGAAATTGTGTAGCGCTACGCCGCATTTATGATGACGTGAATGCTTTGTGGTAGCTGTTAATCGGTCGTTTCAAATGCCAGTGAGCAAGACTTCGGATTTAGACACTTTATATCGAGCATAGATTGTGGGC